AGGTTTTATTTTTTACAGTGACATTGTCAAATTTAATGCTCGGCGGTGATTTGAGGTTACCTTTTAAAAGTAGCTGGAAGGTTTTGTTGGGTGCAAAAGTTAAGCGATTAGGTTATATGGTATTTAAAGAATTATCGGCATATGGTATTTAAAGAATTATCCTCCAACTCCTAACCGTTTAGGAGCTGTAACTTCCATCACCAGCTCATTAACACGAGATAATGACTATCAGACGCAAATACTAGAATATCTACTAGAAGGAGGCTCTATGTTCCACTGTATGTATTTCTTAGGGTTCCGAACCTCAAAAGGTAAAAAAGGAACCCTTTAAAGATCACTTGCTTGTCCGTCTGTCCGTGTGTCACCAACGATTTTCTCAGGAACGGGTAGACCTAGAAAGTGTCTGTGGTCCCTATTAGGTGTATAAAAATTAGTCCTGAGTCCTGACACGATAAAAAGATATGGGCAAATTTAGTTTAATTATCTCGTGTCGATGAGCTTGTGCTGGAAGTTAAACCTCCTAAACGGTTGGGAGTTGGAGGATAATTCTTTAAATACCATATGTATGTTTAGACTTTTAGTTATATTCTTTCAAATCATTCAGGTAAACTAATGATAGAAGGTTAAACTCCTGAACGGTTAGGAGTTAGATGATACTTTAAAATGCCGACATAGTCACCTGTAATGTCAATGTCAATGAAAAGAAAAGACATGCAAATTTGAGGGTTTGATTAGCAACCTGCACTACATACCTAACTTGTCTTAGTGTTCTTATTTAAATATTTACAATTAGTCTCAATTGTTGCTTTATGTGGCTCTAAACCTCAAAGAGCAACACCATCATTGTGCCATATTTACGCGACTTAGCGTAACATAAACATTGCCTTTGGGAATTTTAGGGTACTGCCCTTTTTTTTTTTTTTTTTCCGTGCGGAAATCCCCTCGGATACCACCTGTCGGTGGCATGTCGGACTCGAACCGACTAAAACTGCACGCCGTCTCGGGTACTAATAGCCGGGGAACCAGGTGTACCCTAGAAAGGAAGTTTCTGGTACCCCGACATACCTCGGGTCATCTACAGACGAGTAGACGACCCTCCCCCCGTGTGGGAACCCCATGTTCCCTGTGCTCCCTGGAAGCGAGCGCGCTTCGCAACGCGCTCGCCGCCACCCCGGCCTGCTTCTGCTAGGGTGACAGATGGCCTCACCTGTCACCCCCAGGCCTGCGCTTATGGAGGACGGAGGTCGTTCTGCGACCTCCGGCGCCTGCGGTACCTGGTCCGTTCCCGGGCCTGGCGGGCTGGGAGAGTCCTAAACCTCTCCCGGTCCCGCTCCGCCGTCTTGCTCGCAGAAGGAGACGGCAGAGTTCCACGCACTCTCGCTCCGCACGATAGCCGCAATCATATCGAGCGAGAGAACTCCCACTCCGATGGCCGCCACGAGGTCTCGCCTCTGCTCAACCCACGCCGGGCACTCTGCCAGCGTGTGGAGAGCCGTGTCCACGGTCTGGCCATCGCAGTGGTGGCACTCAGGCGTTGGCTCCTTGCGGATCAGACACAGGTGATCCCCGAAACATCCCTTCCCAGTGATCACCTGCGTCAATCGGTATGAGAGGGTCCCGTGACGCCCCTCGAGCCAATCCTCCATAACGGGTCTTACCGCCGCGATGACGGCGTGCCCGGCGCTCGGTTGCCCGAGTCGTTCCTTCCACTTCTCTATGATGACCTGGCGGAGTTGGGATTTCCGGTCATCGATTTCTCGAGTCTCGGGACACCGACCCAACTCCCGCGCCTCCTTGCGCCACTTATACAGAGCCGCAAGGGCTCTCGCCTCCAGGTCCCACGGTGGAGTTCCGGCCAGGAGACTCGCCGCCTCAAAGGAGATCGTGCGGTACCTTATGATCCTGATGGCCAGCACTCGCTGCGGTCGTCGCAGTATCGCGACGTTGCTGCCCTTCAGGGCCCCCGCCCATACTGGGCACCCGTAAAGGGCCATGGACCGCACAACCCCCGAGTAGAGTCTCCTGCAGGAGTCATCGGGTCCCTTCATGTTGGGCAGCAGCCGCGCCAACGCACGCGCTGCCCTAACCAACTTGGGGACCAGACCTCGGAAATGATATCCGAAGTCCCATCGGTACGAGCCCCAGATACCTGATCGAGGGCTCGATGCCGATGCGAGTGCCTCCTACCGTGAGGCTAGATCCCTCAGGCGCCTTCCTCCGAAGCCCGTGGAAGAACAGGGCCTCGGACTTGTGCAGAGCTACCTGGAGACCCAGCCGCCGGATACGCTCAACGACTTGGGAAACCCCGGCCGTGGCCCTCAGGGTTGCCTCGTGGTGTGTCGTCCGCGTAGCACACGACGGCGACACCATCCAGGAAGGCACCACGAAGCACCCAGTCGTAGCCGATGTTCCACAAGAGAGGCCCTAACACCAACCCCTGCGGAACACCGCACGACATTTCACGCCTACCGAGACCGGTCCTACTGGGGTAGACGACGGCTCTCTCCGACAAATATGCCCCGACTATGCGGCGGAGGTAGAGAGGCACTTCGTGATACACGAGCGCCTCCCTGATGCAGCTCCAGGGCATAGTGTTGAACGCGTTGGCGATGTCCAAGGACACCGCCAACACCACTTCGCCCCGGGAGACTGCTTCCTCAGCCAGAGCCTTCACGCGCATGATCGCATCCACGGTGGAGCGCCCCTGACGGAAACCGTACTGGCTGTCCGCCAGATCCGGCCCAACCATCACGAGATGCTTGACGAGGCGCCTTGCAATCACTCTTTCAAAGAGCTTGCACACCTCGTCAAGCAACACTATGGGCCGGAAGGCGGACGGTGAGCCCGCCGGGCGCCCCTCCTTTCGGATGAGGACCAGTTTCCCCGTCCTCCACAATTTCGGAAACTGGCCCCACTCGAGGCACGCGCTGAAGAACCCTCGCAGTCGGGGCTCGAGAGCCTCGTCGACTAAGGCCAGGACCTACGCTCGGCCAGGAATGCCATCGGGTCCCGGGGCGGTGTTTTTAGATTTAAGCCGTAACACCGCCACCCTTAGTTCCACCCCAGTAGGGTACTGCCCTGGAGTTTATGCACTGCAATCACCCAACTGACGACGACTTTAGTTGCCTGATAAACCTATCAGGTTATAAACCTGTCCGGGATGTTGAACGGGGTTAGTTGCCATAGCGCTTGTGTCAAAAACCGTAGACACAGGGGTTTTTGATTTTGTGGTAATAGAGTCGTCATCATCTATACTATATAATTTAAGTATATAAAAATGTTAAGTTGTGGGAAAGATAGACCAAATAATGTACTACGGAATTGTATACCTTAAAAAGGTCTACAAAAAAATCCGCAATTGTATATCTATCTCCTTAAGATAAACCACAGTAACCATTTTATCTTTTAAATATTACAAAAAAAATATGGGTTTACGAAGCTATTTTAAACAATATATTAGTATTCCTTATCTAGATTTAAATTGCTCTTTACAACATATAATTAAAATGAATATTTTAGAAGATATTAGAGGTTTAATATTCATACTGGATACGCACGCGTTGCTTTCATATTTTGTGTTGTTGTTCTGACGATTTGTGTGAGATGAAAGTGTGTAGAAATTGTAAAGGACGATCTAAATAAAACTACAAAGTCACCTAACATCTTTCGTATTTTTTAGCAAAGGAAGTCATTTAAATATTTTTAAACTAAATTATTGTATTGTATTGTATGTAATAATAAGTAAAAAGTCAATGAAGAGAAAAAAAAGATAAAGAAAAAAGACGGAGTAGAAATCAAAGTGACGAAAACATAAAAAAACACTAGCCCACACTACATTTCCACTTATAGTCTAAGATCCAGCTGCAGAATCAATGCACTCATCAACCAAAACATCAAACAAACCCAAGTTTTACGCATATTTATGATTAGGAGATTGTATATCTACCAGGTTGCCTATCAAAATGTGGCCGCTAGTATTTTTAATTAAATTGTTGTTAATTGATTTTTGGGAAAACATTTCGTGCATTTAAAAAAAGACGTCCACGTCACGGCAATATATATAAAGGCTCTGAAAAATCACGGTTGCCGTTGCGCACTCGGCCGCACCTCACAGCCAGGTGTACGTTCATAACGTACGTTTATTATTTATATATCAAATTAAAGCTAATTTCTTTCAGTCTATTATGATAGCCGGATCTCGTACTATTAAGAAATAGCCTGTGCTGAATTAATCCCAAGCATTCTTGTCTTCTATGTAATCAACAATTAAGTAGTAAGCTTTCTGACATAATTAATGATTTATTACGGATTTAAATTTGTTAACACAAGTCTTGTATATTATTTGGGATTTTATCATAAAATTGGATATATTGACCGCGAATAACTTGTTTATCTTTTAGAGACTACAAGGTATAATAAGTTTATTCATATTTCTGGTATTTTTAAATTGTACATCACTTCTTTTCAAAAAGAAATTATATAAATACCACAACACACACTGTTTGGTCTTTGGTACTGTCACAGGTTTGTATGAACGTATGAACATACATTACATTTACATATATATAAATTGACAAGCCACTCTCATTATGTTTATTTCTTTAAATTTCTGCCTCAATGAACAACAATGAATTGCTCTTTTCTATAGCACAAAAATAGTTTGAATGTCGGTAGCTATTATGTTATACTAAAATAACTGAAGTAAGTCGTACTGTATCTACTCAGCTGAGTCTACTCATAATTTATCTTCGAAAGCAACTTCGTTCCAACCGGGGGTCCATAGACCCCTCACGCCGTTTTTTATTTATTCATTGAAACTTCCAGCAAATATATTGCACAACACCAGTCTAACCGTCACACGTTGTTCTATTGTTTCACACTACTTTAAGCATTTAGAAGAATAAAACAACGTTGCATGTATAATACTGTATACTATTTAGATACTCTATAAAATATTGACAACACATAAAAACAATAAATTGGAGTAATCGTTTATGAGACTATTTACCCCACCGGTAAGCGCCAGATAAGATCATGATTAAATGATGCAACCGGTTCCTGCGCATATTCTCTCGGTCCTCTCTTGCTTGTGTAATAAACTTTAACCATTCTTCTCGTTTTGCTGGAATGCTAGGGCCATAGGTTGGCAAGGGTTTGAACGACTGCTTTATTGTCTGCATCAAACATGGTGCATCGATAAAAGTACCCTTTGGGACCAAATATTACGTTGCCGCAAAGGTTTGAAATGAATATCTACGTACCTGTACATATCTATGTGTCCAGAATTTATAAAACGTGATAATCATTACAATGGGAATAAGTGCCACTCCACTATATTGAAGAGTAGAACCAGCAACTGTAAATTTATATAACTTTCGTAAGTGAGGTGTTACAATAGTGTAATGTATGTATACCTATGCAAATTTAAGGAAAAATACTAACTAAATGCAGACTCGGGATAAATGTATGTATCCCCAAATTTAGGTATTTGTTTGGTAACCAATGAATATACAAACACAGAAAACATCAGTAAGGGAGTAATAATACTCCAACATATTCGCCAGTAAAAGCAAGTTTTTTTATGTAACATGAATTCTATATCCAAACACATGTTTTCCAATCCTAAAAAAATAAAATAAATTTATTATCTTGTAAAATAAAGTAAAATAATCGCAAAAGATGAATAAGTAAGTGATACCATAAATCCAAAATATACCCATAGTCTCAGTTATAGCAGCAAACAATCTCATGAAAGTTCCTCCATAGAAATCCACTAATTGCAACATATGTTGTCCACCCTGTAATAGAAATAACTATTCCAATGAAAAAGTTACATGAGCTGGGAGGGGTCACATATTATACATTATATGTGGGGCATACTGGAAGTCTCTGGATCTGGCCAATTTGAAAAAAACAATTATGGAATGAAAATTGAACAATTTGAAAAAATGTTACTTTTTAATTTGCGAGACTGTCATTTGTTTTTTCATTGTGACCGCCTTTCGAAAATTGTATATCGCCATTAAAATGATTAAATCGATGGATACCGCATGAATTAATTTTTACAGTATTTTAAGACTGGTCCAACTGCTTTGTACAGTGGTTTCAGCGAATTCAAAAATGCATTAGGGAATACACTTTAGAAAAACAATAATTGTATCATCAGTCTTATATCTAGTCTTATTTATCAGAATCCAGAAACTTACAGTATGCCCTAAGTATGAGGCGAACTGGTATGGTATACTTCAACACTGAGTTTTGGAAGACACAAACCAACAACATTTTTATATATATATAGATAGAAGATAGATTACAATTATTAATTATATACAATTCACGAGTCTTAAAATATTTTAAATAAATGATTATAAAAGATTTAATATATAATACTGTATGGCTTAATGATTCATTGCTAGGTTCCGTTGATTCGGGAGAGGGCCGATCCCGCTCGGAGGGTCGTCCCGCGGGACGCGGCAGTGGTCGCTAGCTTCCCAATCGCCGACCCGAGACAGATGACACTCCGGTGCGGCCGGGGGGTGTCCATGGCGGGGCGCTGTTGCGCCTCCTACTGTATAAAGCAGTGAGAGACTGCAGACTACAGTCACCCCGGAATGTGCCTCACACATGGGGTACTGCAGGGAGGACTTCAGAAGCCGCCAATGCGTTCCTGGAGCTTCTCCTGACTGCCGAAGTAGGCCGCCGCGGGGTTTAGCAGGTAATCCGGTTCTCCTGGAGTGCCACACACGCCCTGCGTTTCCCCAACGGAGGGTATGGTGCGAAAAAAAAATGCTCCGTTGGTTTCAATAACAACTCAAACTAATAAATACAGTGCTATATATACATCTGCAAGTATATACAAGTCTAAACTAGCTACACAATTATAATGTAATCACTACTTAATTTGCCTGTAGATAAATAAAAAGAAGAAAAAGTATACTAAATGGCAATTTCTGTTCACAATATACTGTTTATTGACTTTATTAACTTACTGGAGTGGTATAAATAAGTCCTAGGAAAAATCCTATAAAGCAGGTTAATCCACTCATTGTAACGGTGGGTACGTTTGGGAAGTAGTCTAGCAGTATTGTATTCATTGTAGAGTGTAATGCCACTCCAGATCCGACACCCAAGACTAGCATCATGAAGAAGAATAAGAAAGCAAACAGCTGTAAAATAAAGAGACCATGTTTAATTTCTATAACATTAAAATATTTTAGGTACAGTCAGCATCAAAGTCAATACATGCTAATACATCCAAATACTTGGAACATTCAAGGTACTTATTATCGTAAGACTGACAATGACCGACTCGTTTGTACTCTAATGAAAATAAAGATACTTGTCTATTAATTCAATCATTTTGGAATTAAAGAAATAAAGATGAAAGTGTAAAATATGGTTGAACCTCCAGATTCAGATTTCGAGGACTTGCATTAAACATCATGTTTGCTTTGATGATTTTATATCATTGATTTGATTGCGCGCTTGACCAATGCTAATGACCTAATGACTTAATGACTTAATGCTATTTAATGACTTGATCCAATACGACTAAAATTAATAACGTTCTTATTTGAATTTTAAATCATCATCATCATCAACAGCCTTTAACAGTTCACTGCTGGACATAGGCCTCTCCTTAGAAAGGCAGTTTTGGCCTACTATACCACGCTGGCCAGACGGAGCGCTATGGGGTTTTTTTCAAGATTTCCTTCTCTTTGCAGTGCTGTTATTCTGCGTAGTTTACTTCCTTAGTCAGCTCTTGCGAGCCCACGGGATGAATAGGTGTGGTGACACTCTGTATTCTAATCCGTAACCAACGGATTTTTTTAAATGACTTACCCATATGCATCGATGTAAATTTATAACCCCCGGTGCAAACAAGGGGGTTGTTATAAGTTTAATGTATGTACCTACTCGTTTTTGTACAGCTATCTGTATCATACATTTACCCCTATACGTTATCTTCATCATCATCATCATCATCAACAGCCTTTAATAGTCCACTGCTGGACATAGGCCTCCCCTTAGAAAGGAGTTTTTGGCCTACTATACCACGCTGGCCAGACGGGTTGGTATAGGGTTTGGTTCAAGTTTTCCTTCTCTCTGCAGTGTTGTTGTCCTGCGTTATACGTTATCTTATCGTTTTTTAATTTTATGATGAAATTAAACTATTAATTTAATCAAATCGACCAATTTAATACATATATAGCTACAGACTTACTTAAATATACATTATCTGTTTACTTGTGGAAAAAATGGTGATTGCGCAATGGCATCTGGGTAAGAAATAAAGACAAGGCTGGAGCCACCTGTTCCAATAACATTTTGAACGTCATCATACCCAAGCTGGTGTGCGAGATTGCCCAACATGCCGAATATAGTGAAACCTGAGATTAAGCTTGTAAATGTGTCCAGAGTAGACACAATTAAGGAGTCTCTGAAGTTAATGGAAAGATTCCAATAAAATATGTAAATTGTACATACTTTACCACGTATCGAAGTAGTTATGTTTTTAACCTCACTTCCACTGAGCGAGTAGTCACTGCTATTTCTATGTATATTAAGTCAAATTAACCATATTCACAAACGCGGCTGCCACTCTGAAGATGTCCCAACTGCAAAAGAGCATGAGACTCGAGTAGCCACACGAGTGTCTACAGTTATATCCCTAGGACGTAGGTAATTTGACGGGCCTGTTCGTTCCTTACGGAGGTCGTGGGTTCGATTCCCACCCAGGACAAATATTGTGTGATGAGCACGGTCATATGTTCTGTGTCTAGGTGTAATTTATCTATAATATGTATCTATTTAAAAATATATAAGTATGTTTATCAGCAGTCTGGTTACCATAGTACAGGCTCTGCCTAGTTTGGGATCAGACGGCCGTGTGTGAGATGTGTGAGATATATTACATTATGAATATATACCGTAAGACAGGAATATGAAAGCGGTTTGTAACTATTCTACTATAATAATTATGATACGAGAACAATCTAGTAATGTGCTTAATTATTTTACTTGTTAGCCTAGTTACGATACGTTACAATCTAACCATAGCACTAAATAGATTATTCCTTAACGTGGGGTGCTGACGCTTCAGCAGATCGTCAATCAACGATCTGCTATGGAAACTAATTTAACTTTTTATAGAGTATAACCATCTCTTTAAAAAAATATTCAAGTTTAAAAGTTTATGACAAACTAAATTAAAGTGCTGAATTGGATACAGTTCAAGTCTATTAGAAATAGTAAAAAAATGTAGGATACCTATAAACATCTTGTCCAAAGCGATTGTAAGAGGAGAACACAATAAGAGCTCCTGAACAGATGGACAAAGAGAAGAAAGCTTGGGTAACTGCTGCATACCATACCTATGAATAGATGATAAAAACGTTAGGTACGTTACTACGTACATTCCAACAGTAGCAGGGATTAATAAATAGTATTCAAAAGTTATTATGCGCATTTTTTAAAATCCTTATTATGGTCGGCCATGCTGTACTGTTGAATTTGTTTTGAATCTTAGTTGGATACTAATGTTAATAACATTATACTATGCATGCATGCATGAGTAATCAAATTTCTTGATTCAATCAATTGAATATTTGTATTTTAATTTCGGAACTGATTTTACAAATGTCAATCATTCGACATGGCAAAATGTGTTAGGGTATGTATTCACTATAGAGTAAATAAAAATAGCGTTGTAATTTACAAAAGCTAAACCGTTTTTAGAATCACACTAAAGCATTAATTTTTGAGATCTTGCTGATCAGTATTATTACTGAGAATAAGATGAATTGTTTATTTGCTTCTAGCTAAATACGATAGTTTTAATTATATCATTTATTTAAGCATAGTTTTCTTCTTTGTTAGGTTAATTAAATGTATATTTGTATTAAATGAAACTTTTAGTAAAGAAATGTTTATACATAGGTCACTATATAAATTTTGAGATTCGCAACAAGTAAACAACATATACTTAGATACAATTTATATTATATTTGTGCAAAGTACTCTCCATCACTCTCTATACCAATCCGTCCAAACCAGTCTTGGAAACACTTGTTACAGTCTTCAAAATAGGTTGATTTTTAGGCAGCCACTGCTTCTTCGGCACTTGAAAAAGACTCGCTTTTTTCTTATCTTCTATGGTGAGGAATAAAAAGAAGTCACAAGGAGCTAAGTCGGGGCTGTAAGGTGGGTGAGGAAGGGTTTCAATACCCAATTCTAGAACGAACGCCTTTTACTCTAGGGAAGAGTGTGAAGGCGCATTGTCGTGGTACAGCATCATTCCCCGAAATCAGTCTTTGGTCGTGTCTCCTGCACAACTTTAAAAACTTTTGGCAATGCTACTGTAGTGAACCATTCTGAGTTAACAGACTTACAATTCTCTAGCATTGATGTTTCAAGATGACTACTCTGTGAAAAAAAAACTGACTGACTGTAAATGAAATTGTGATGTTTAATTTTCAAAGAAATTTGGTTTTAATAATATATAACAAACGCATTCGATAGTCCGTGTAGTGACGAATTAAGAATACGGAATGTTACTACCCCAATTCATACCGTGGGTGTCGTAAGAGCCGACTAAGGGCGCAAAACAAAGCAGGACACCAGCACTGTAAAAAGAAGGAAACTTAACACAAACCCGTCTGGCCAGTGTGGTATAGTAGGCAAAAACCGCCTTTCTAAGGAGAGGCCTATATCCAGCAGTGGACTGTTAAAGGCTGTTGATGTGAGATGAGTTCCATTTCAAGTATCTTTTGTGATGCTTATGTAGTGACCTATGTATAAAATGTTGGTTCTAACATTGACATCTGCCATCTTTTGTGAGAGAAACAGAGAAAACAAGCACTTGTACAGTAAAAGTACTCACTTTTAACTCCATAATTCTACTCCATACGGGCGTAATAAAAAACAATATTCCTTTACTGGCACCAGGTAAAGTGACAGACCTAGAAATATACATGTAAAAATAACAGAAGTATGATATTAAGTACCTGCCTAGAAAAAAATATTCAAAAAGTAATAAACGGTGCCGGGGGAGGTTAACGTCGTTGAAATCACGGATCATACGGATTTCTCAGTCGCGATGTCGCAATGGGAGGGTAAGCATTGCGCGTTCGCCATTGAGGCATTTTTGAAGAGTAACGATTCTATCGTAACCGCTCGTCGGCAATTTTGTTTACACTTCGGTATTCGAAGGCTATGTGATAAGCCTAGTGTAAATTTGATTCGTTCCTGGATGCAGAGGTTTCGCGCAACTGCCTCGGCTATGAACGCCCCACGGCCAGGGCCTAATCGATCTTCAAGGACCCCCGAAAACATTGAAGTGGTGGTACGAAGTCTACGAAAAAATGCGCGACTTTCAATACGGAAATGGGCAGCCTCACTGGGACTTCCGAGGGCGATTGTCCATGAAATTTTAAAAAAGGATCTGAAGTTCCATCCTTTTAAAATTCAGATCGTTCAAGAACTTCAAGAAAATGATTTTTTCCACGCAATTTTTTTTTGTGAAACGATGCTAGAGCGTTTTTGCACTGTAAACTCCATTGTTTGGAGTGACGAGGCTTACTTCCATTTAAACGGGCACGTCAACAAGCAGAACAGCAGTTATTGGTCTCCAAGAACTCGCAACCCTTGACTTGACCAACTTGAAACACCGAAAACCATTGCATTGTCCTAGGGTAACGGTTTGGTGTGCTCTATCCACGGATTATTGGACTTTTTTTTTTTAAAGTTCTCGAGGCCAAGCAACGAATGTCAATAGTGACAATCATAGGCGCATGATTATGGATTTCTTTTTTGTCTAACCTGCGAGCTCATCCATCGTTCTCATCGCATACGTGGTTTCAACAGGATGGTGAGACACCACACACAGCCAGATCTTCCATGAATTTGCTTCGTCAATATTTTCCCCAAAAATTGCTTAGTCGCTTTGGGGACATCTCGTGGCCAGCCAAGATCATCCGACTTGACCCCGATGAATTTTTTTATGGGGCTACTTCAAAGAGGGAGTGTACTCAAACAATCCGCGGACGGTTGTCGAATTAAAACTAAATATTCGACGAGAAATTAGCGCAATTCAACCGAGCGTATTGCAGAGTGTGGCGCGAAACACAAAGCTCCGTTTCGAACAGTGTGTGGAACTTGATGGAAAACATTTGGATGACATCATTTTTTGAAATTAAAATCCGCATCTTTGCTCAATCTTTTACTATTTTTATAAAAAAAATATGTCAAGTGGTTAGTTTATTATTTTATTTTAAAAATATTAATCTGCCACCAGACACCCTGTAGTATATGTACGACTGTTGGTAATAACCAAGAGTCGTACATAGATCCGTACAACCCGACGGCTCGAGCGAGAATGACCAGCGCTCCCACTGCCGCCCGTTTTTATACTAAACGTCAATCCACGTGGTATTTAGGTTAAGTATTGAATTAAGTATTTAACTATTAATAAATTTGTCGTAAATAGATGGTGATTTCATGAATCAAGTGATTAATAAATAAATTAGCTTTTTATCGGCATCGGCTCCATTTAAGTAGTTGCGCCAATATATACTATGTGATTAAACTACTATTATATGTATGTCAAAATGTTCAAGTGATAGTCAGAGAAATTCTGGGAAAAAAAACAATAAATGTAATGCCGCAATGATAACATACTAATTGTGGATAAGTGCAACAGGTTGAATCAAGAATTTACGGCTGATTAAATGTGGATTTATTAATAGGAAAAAAAAATATTTTTTAAATGTTTAGTTTATCCCCCACGTTAGGGTCAGGCAACTACGAGTATGATATAAATGTGATAATGACTGCCCTGCAGAAAAAAAGTTGTGAAGGTGTTTGATTTGACCAGAGGAAAGATCCTGAGAGTTTGAACTTGACAAATATTTGTGGATTTATTCTTAATGTGCTAAATGCGCCAAACCAAGTCTGCGGTCTGACAACAAACCAAGGTTTGTAGTGATGTCGTAGACGTCATCACTTTTATAACCATACGACAGATTAGGGGCAATTTTTATAAAAGGGCTTCAAAATATAATGCTACTCAATTAATAGGGAGAATCAGTGATTACTCAAATCCAAAAAGCACCGCGCTGAACCGCCTCTAACCAACAACTGCGACAGTTTTACCAGAAGTATAGTATCCGTCTCACAGTGTGATATGTAATATGTCAAATTTTGAGTCTTCCGTAGAATGTCATTTGGACTTCTGCGTTGGATGTATGAATCAAATCCTACGTATGAAATTAGTATTCATAATACTATAAATGCGAAAGTTTGTGAGTATATGACAAAATTTAGAAGTAAGTGAATTTAGTTTGTGAAGGACTATTAAACGCTGAACTCGGCAATACATCAACGGACAAAAATACTTAAGTATGGAGTTGTGCTTGTACAGGCAGGCAAACCACCAACTACACTGCTTGTGTATTTAGCTTCTATAAATATTTTCTCAACAGTTTTAAATTAAGTCACTAATATTAACTAATATTATTTAATATTGTTGTAATTAATTAAATGTATACAGAGTTAGATTAGTTTACTAGTTGTCTGTTGTATACAATTTTGGATGGGCAAGATCCAAGAAGTCCAATACTTACTTTTGAATCTCGATGGGATAGTCATTTCTCCAAGTAAATACCATTTTTTTAATTAGTAAAGAACAGATTTGTTTCAATGTAACTATTGTATATTTATGTTATAAATCTATTTGGGCCGATATATTTAAAACAATACGCTATAATTATTTTGGCTTACCTAATTAGTAGAATAACCAGAATCACATATGGAAACAAAGCAAGGAAATATGACACTTTGCCTGATGTCTTAATACCACGAACATTTATTAAAAAAACTGAGATCCATCCTAGAAATAAACATAGTGCCAGATGCCATAAAGGTGTACCTGTGAAAAGAGTAGCAGTGTAGCAGCTAAGATAAAGGCAACTAATTTCGCGAGGTTATAAAGTTGGCACCTCATTCTAAGGTTTTTTTGAAAAGCAATTTATACCTGTCAATTTACATTCAGTCTCAAAAGTACCCAGAAATTATCATTTCAAAATCATGTGCTAGACATATTAAAAAAAATATTTTTACAACTGTCATTGATTGGCGGTAGAAAAAAAACCTAACCTCTGTCAAGAATTTTGTGACTAATTAACATTTGTGACAAACAACTTTTGAGGTCGTGTCGTTTTTTACTATGGCCGATTTTGTTGAGCAACGATCTTGTATTAAATTCTGTGTTGCAAATGAAATTTCTTGTGCCGAAACGCTTAAAATGTTACAAAAGGCCCTCGCAAATTATTGTATGTCCAAAACTCAGGCATACGGTGGTAGAAATCATTCAAAGAGAGACGTACAGTGGTCGAAGATTTACCACGGGCTGGAAAGCCATCCACTTCAACTGACGACGATCATGTCAATAAAGTACGGCAAATTGTAATGGAAAATCGTTGTGTGAGTGTGAGAGAGATAGCCAGAGACATCGGCGTTCCAAAAACTACAGTACACCGCATATTGCCTGACTTTTGCATATTGCTCGATTGTGGCGGCCCTCAATGTGTTATTCTCTCTCCTCTATTATTTTCAATATTTATCAATCTCATCACTCCAAAAATGAACATGTTTCCTCCTTTCGTCGCGAACTGAACTGGCTCACTAATCGTCAGCGCCGTCAGCTGCGCGCCCCCTTCACCCTATATTCCACTCTCAATTCACCCATTTCCCCCTCCTACCTGACATCTTCATTCCAATTTCTGTGTTCCAACTACGATAGAAGCCTCCATTCATCAAAAATCCTTTTCTGCTATGCCCCACTCATACTTCCGCTTGTGTCCACTCCTCGTTCCTAATCCAATCCGTACTCCTCTCGAACGCTCTCCAACTAGAAATCAGGACAATAATTTGTGAATCACACAAAGTGTCGTCCTATGTGGGGATCGAACCAACATGGGACCGCTTAAACCACTACGCCATCCGTGCAGTCAAATATATGCAAGAATTGCTTGTTTAAAGGTACATGTAGGTTTATGTATGTATGTAATATTTGTCTCATTGTTTCTCTCTAACTTCTCAATAATTTTCTTTTACGTTATGTATCAATGTCTAGTGCACCTAATCACACATTTCAGCACCACCCTAAGGTAGACTGGGAGAAAATACATGTGGCATAAAGAGTTAAATAAATAAATAAAAATACGGCGAAGGCGTTGCAATACATCCCGATTTCGGCGTATGAAAAGTGTTTCGAGGACTGGTTGAAGCGCTGGCGTAAGTGTATTGCCTATAAAATAAATTTGGAAAATTAAAATTACCCCTTGTGTTTTAACTTCCGGGTACTTTTGGGACACAGTAGTACGTCATAACGGCTACCGGAAATTACAGAAATTACAGATATAATTTTTGAGATTGATTAACGTCTAAATAAACTATAAGCTTAATTAGTTTGCTATTAACTTTAGTCGCCATACTATGACATTTTTCTTATGTATTAAATTCTTGGCCTTATAAAACTTACAAAAAGGTTTTTTTTTTTGTTGACGGGGTGGAAAATACCTTCAGATCTCCGGCACCTCGGGAATGCAGAAGCCAGGAGTATGTGGTGTTTCCCCTAAAAACCCCTAGTGGGTAAACCCACTGTGGGTTTCAGGCGCCGTACTTCGGGGAGGATCCGGAACATGCTATTACAGATGTTATGTGGATCGACGCCACGTCTAGTTAGGCCCTGTCCCGGGGGAAACCAGAGGTCCCCACTTGGCGTACCTGCGTCAGTTGGTGGGTGATGCGACCTCCCTCCCTACCTACTCAAGCTAGTTTAGGCAGACCGCAGAACGGCGTATCGACAGCACTTGAACCAAAGCTGCGATGCTAATTTCGGTCCTGTTTTAAAAGTAAAATTTAAGTTTTAAAATCCTTTACATACCAATTCCATCATGAATTTGTGTCTTCCCTTGGAGCACTACCTGCCTGGAAGGTAATTAAAAGTTATAATAGCTGGTTTAAACATAATTTTAACTTGCTATTAATATATATAAACATGTGACATTATTTTATTGGTTTCTGTACTTCTAAAAAAATTAACTTTACAAATTCATTTCGTTACCGGTTCGTCTACCTGTCAAAACTTTAGGAACGCGTGCAGACATCAATTTGAAATTAAGATTAAGTAGGTACGTATGTCAGCAGTCACTTGAAGCTAAAAATATTATGTTTCTAAGTCAACTCATGAAAAAAACTGTCATTCCAACCTTACATTTATTCTAGAAAATAGAGGAGACAAGTAACAAACGAGCAGACAAGTTACCTGATGGTAAGTGACAACTGCCACTAATGAACATCACCTATCGTTCAATGATGAACATGGTTGCATCCCACATCAACAACATCTGTGTGTCACAAGCAGTGCAGTGCATTTCGGTATGACCGAGATCAAGGCAGCTGCATCGACAAAACACACAAGCAAATAGCCATCCATGTGTACTTAGAGTAAGATTAGTGTATAAGTTGTAATTTTATGTAAATAAACCAGTAATCTTGTCTAATCCAACTTTGACTCAGTACCCTATCCCACCTCTCTCTGAGGCCGTTACACCTTTAGCCGTCAGTAGATATCGGTCTTGCGAGCCTGCTCGACCGGCATATTGTTAGGGATAGTAGTATTCTTAGATAGGCTTTCGGTGTTATACGTTCGAGTGCTGATTGGTGTATTACGGTTGCCGGTCCGCACCGCACCGAAAAACCTTCAGTCTTTCAAGCTAAGTTGAATCGCGGTCTCCCTGTCGCCGTAGGTTGACTGATTGACACTTTGACGTATTGCAGGCTAGTGTTCCAAACAAGTGCTAGTATTTGTTGTACGTTAAAGCACTGACTAACTTAGTTGCTGTCGTGCGGTAGCGAATTAGGTATCGGTCTCCCACAAGCAGGTTGCTCCGGTACTCGAGAAATCGCACATACTGTATCGAGAAGAAAATGCGCAGCTAAGTTCTATTTACATCCCTGTTATTGATTAGGTTAGTTAGGATAAGATAGTCGTCGATCGGTACTAGTGTCGGTTTTTGAACACGGATCAAAGAAAAGTTGCGGCAAGCGGCTGCGACGTATTTACACGTTGGCGCGTGCTTTTTCCCTATCGCTCAATTTGAAATTATAAGTATTGTAGTTGAGCAGTCGGGAATGTTTTTTTTTTTTTGTTTTTTTTTTGTTTTACAACTATGTATGTATGTAATGTAACAATACTCAAATTGAAATACAAAAATAATATGACAGAGCAGTTTTACGAGGTCTCGCAGAAACTCAGAATCACGCTATAGTTTAAATAAATAGTAGAAATTTAAGTAGAATGATATGATAGAATGAAAAGATGTTGCATTACATTCCTTCACCTTAGTCTAATTAATGTTTTTTACTATAACTTAAATTAGAATTATTTTACGTTTCGTTCAAATTGTGCAAACTTACGTTGCATGACTAGCTCATCTGCAAAATGCACTTCTTAAATTAATTTCACTATAAATACTTAGTGCTGACTGAAGATTATTTTTATTATTTAAATTTTAAGCAATAATTGATAACTTGTCGTCTAAGAGAACGTATCTTGTACTTACATGAAATAAAATTCTGCACTGCTTTTTCCAGAACTAGGGTCAGGACTATATTGTCCAGAAGGTACGCAGTTTGACCACATTGCTTTGCATACAGACCATGGTAGGGTAGATTGGACGCTCATTACTAAATAGTATATACAAAGACCCACAATTGACATGTAGTATGATAACACGTAGACAGCACTCAAGGTTTGAACAAACCCAGTTCCTGTAAATTTAAAGCCCATGTTTTGTGTAAAACAGTCCAAATTGAAAACGATTCACAACTGTAAGACGACATTAAGTAACTCTCTTGCGTGCACTGTCACTTTAAAGTGAATTCTCAGGCTGAGGCAATGACTCATGACTTTGATAGTGTATGTATAAAAAAATCTAATTGAATAACATTATTCAATTAAATTTTTTCGTACCTCTTAAAGCTGGCACCACATCCCAAACCTTCACGCAGTTATTACTGCTGAATTGCCCAAGAGATGTTTCAAGATAATATATGGGCTTTCCGATAAAGATCAGCACAACAAGGTATGGTATGAGAAACGCTCCCCCTCCATTTTCATAGCAAACGAAGGGAAACCGCCAGATGTTACCCAGACCTACTGAAGTTGCAATACATGACATGAGAAATTCCCATTGGCTCCCCCATTGTGGTCGTTCTTTTTGTACAGGCTGAAATTTGAAATATCATAAATAAATGCCTATTTAACAAACAATTAATGGAATTTTAGGAAAAATTAAATTTAGCATAAGGAAGACCATTTGCAAGAAAGCTTTGGATTTATGCAAGACTCAGAAAATTTAGTTTTGCTTTTAGCTATAGATTTTTCGTGAGCTATTCAGGGTGGTGAGCGTTAAAGTTATCGCACCATAACTTCGAAATGTCTGACCAGATTTGAATGTATGGGCATCGTTAAAATTCTTACATCCTCTCGAGTAAGTTTGGCGGTTTTTGGAAAAATAACATATTGGCTGCTGTGCAGCACCTAACTCCTTTTTTGGCAGATTAGATGTGTTTCAATTTTTTCAATTGGAAGCTTTCTATACCTTTGACATCATGCATGCAAAAAAAACCACTCGCTATTAAAACATTACATAGGATAGGATCATATATAATACACGTTGTTCTGGCTTACCTTTTTTGATAAATACATTTCGAATAATCAAAAATTAATAAGATTCTTGATGGTATGACTTGCGATTAGAATAAGTTAGCTTCTGAAAAATAATAACGTTTTAGCAAATTACCTCAGTATACGAGGGGTGATCAATAAGTAATGATAATCGAGTATTTCTAGAACGCACAAAAACCCAAATTATTTTTTTTCTGCTTGCTTATATATCCACTACTTCAGCTTCAAAAAAATGTATAAATAGGACACCATTACCGGGAGATACATTCATTTGAATACGAACTGTCGAAGAGAAAACATCAAAATGGAGAAAAATGAAATAAGTGCTGTCATCAAGTACCTCTGCCTGAAAAAAATGTCTACCAAAGACATACATAGCGACTTAGAGGAAACATTGGGGGAGTCTGCTCCTCCATATTCCACAGTCGCACGCTGGGCAAAGGAATTTAAGCTGGGCAGAACCTCCACTGAAGATGAACATCGCGAGGGACGCCCTTCCACGTCCCTTACTGGAGAAAACGTCAAAAAAGTGGAAGATATCGTGTTGGCCGATCGAAGGGTGACCGTAAGGCATGTAGCTGAGGTCACAGGGATCTCCTATGGCAGCGTTCAAAAAATCATTGTCAACAAAATGCATATGAAAAAGGTCTCTGCGCGTTGGGTACCGAGAATGTTAACCGACGAGCAAAAAAAGAAACGAGTCGACATTTCGAGGGTGAATCTTCAAAAGTTCCAGGCCGATAAAGAATTTTTTTTGTCGCGTTTTGTGACCATGGACGAGACCTGGATCCACCACTTTGATCCCGAAACCAAACAACAATCAATGACTTGGAAACGAGCTTCCTCACCAACGCCGAAGAAATTCAAAGTGTCAAGTTCAGCGGGAAAGGTTATGGCGTCTGTTTTCTGGGATGCAGAAGGAATTATTATGGTGGAATATTTGGAAAAGGGGGCCACTATAACAGGCTCTTACTACGCAGGCCAAATAAGAAGATTGCGAGAAGCTATTAAGTCAAAAAGACGCGGTAAACTGCGCGCTGGAGTGCTGTTTCACCAAGACAACGCCCCGGCTCACAAAGCCGCAGTTGCGATGGCTGCCATTGAAGAAACGGGGTTCGAACTGCTCGAACACCCTCCCTATTCGCCAGATCTAGCTCCCAGTGACTTCTACCTCTTTCCTCGGCTCAAAGAACACCTCCGGGGCAACAAATTTGAGGACAATAGTGAAGTGATGGCCGCAGTAGAGGCATTTTGGGAGGGTCAAGACAAATATTTTTTTTCTAAGGGAATCATGGGCTTAGAAAAAAGATACACTAAATGTATTAACTTGCAAGGAGACTATGTTGAAAAATAAAATACTTTTTTAAATCTAATAGTTCTGTTTCATATTGATTATCATTACTTATTGATCACCCCTCGTATTAAATATACATATAGAGTAAGTTGAGGAATTTGTCATTTTGATTGTTAACTTTAGGGCTGGTGTGTTATAAATTTCTCTATACATAGCAAACGCATTTTTTTTTCAATATCTCCAATTATTCATTTTTATGATGGATTATATCATTGTTTCTTCAATTATTTTATGATGGATATGATTATAAAATTTAAATAATTATTATATAAAATTTTATGAAATTATTCAAAGTCGCCAAAAATGCCAAGTCCCTGCTCCACAGGGGTTTATTGAACTGGGCATGTTCATTTTTACTTCGTTTATGTGTCACCTGTTACTTACCCAGATCATTTCAGTTTAATTACCGATTCCAATAGGGTTTCATGAAGTAATTTTTTACCACACTTCTTTTCTAGCTTAAGATATTGTATGATAATAGGAATATCTACACGATCCGATAAAAAAAATTATTAGACTGTTCTGTTAATTATACGAGGGGTGATCAATAAGTAATGACAATCGAGTATTTCTAGAACGCACAAAAACCCAATTTTTTTTTTCTGCTTGCTTATATATCCACTACTTCAGCTTCAAAAAAATGTATAAATAGGACACCATTACCGGGAGATACATTCATTTGAATACGAACTGTCGAAGAGAAAACATCAAAATGGAGAAAAATGAAATAAGTGCTGTCATCAAGTACCTCTGCCTGAAAAAAATGTCTACCAAAGACATACATAGCGACTTAGAGGAAACATTGGGGGAGTCTGCTCCTCCATATTCCACAGTCGCACGCTGGGCAAAGGAATTTAAGCTGGGCAGAACCTCCACTGAAGATGAACATCGCGAGGGACGCCCTTCCACGTCCCTTACTGGAGAAAACGTCAAAAAAGTGGAAGATATCGTGTTGGCCGATCGAAGGGTGACCGTAAGGCATGTAGCTGAGGTCACAGGGATCTCCTATGGCAGCGTTCAAAAAATCATTGTCAACAAAATGCATATGAAAAAGGTCTCTGCGCGTTGGGTACCGAGAATGTTAACCGACGAGCAAAAAAAGAAACGAGTCGACATTTCGAGGGTGAATCTTCAAAAGTTCCAGGCCGATAAAGAATTTTTTTTGTCGCGTTTTGTGACCATGGACGAGACCTGGATCCACCACTTTGATCCCGAAACCAAACAACAATCAATGACTTGGAAACGAGCTTCCTCACCAACGCCGAAGAAATTCAAAGTGTCAAGTTCAGCGGGAAAGGTTATGGCGTCTGTTTTCTGGGATGCAGAAGGAATTATTATGGTGGAATATTTGGAAAAGGGGGCCACTATAACAGGCTCTTACTACGCAGGCCAAATAAGAAGATTGCGAGAAGCTATTAAGTCAAAAAGACGCGGTAAACTGCGCGCTGGAGTGCTGTTTCACCAAGACAACGCCCCGGCTCACAAAGCCGCAGTTGCGATGGCTGCCATTGAAGAAACGGGGTTCGAACTGCTTGAACACCCTCCCTATTCGCCAGATCTAGCTCCCAGTGACTTCTACCTCTTTCCTCGGCTCAAAGAACACCTCCGGGGCAACAAATTTGAGGACAATAGTGAAGTGATGGCCGCAGTAGAGGCATTTTGGGAGGGTCAAGACAAAGAATTTTTTTCTAAGGGAATCATGGGCTTAGAAAAAAGATACACTAAATGTATTGACTTGCAAGGAGACTATGTTGAAAAATAAAATACTTTTTTTAATCTAATAGTTCTGTTTCATATTGATTATCATTACTTATTGATCACCCCTCGTAGTTTGGCAGTAAGTAAAAATTTTGTCTGTCTGAATTGGCGGGAAAGTTCCCCTAAAAATTTGCAGGTCGTATCTAATGCTTAAGGAGGGGGAAGGGAAGACTTATTATCACCTGAAATAATAGCAGCGTGTGTACTGTGGTTGCTGGGTTGATCAGTCAGTCAATCAGCGTTTCTTTAAACTGTCTTTTGGTTTTTCATCTAACACTGTGTAGGTAAATTTTTTGAATTCTGCTCCTATTCTCGGCGAATGTTAACCGAGGAATTTCCGTAAGATAAAACTTAAGTTTATTTAAGTAATTGTATGTGATAGAAATGTCTGTCGTGAACTAGTTAGAAAAAAGAGATATAATAATTTGTCTAAAATATTGGCGTTATAAGGAACTACGATACTGTAGAAAATGGTAAAACACTTAGTTTACCTGAGCGATTCATGTGGACTTGGTAGCAGGGGACGAAGTCACCAATAAAATTATGAAAACCGCGAGTAAATATAATTTTGTAAAAATAGATTCATAACTACTTTGTATATAAATTTAATATTAATGTAACACAGTGATTATTATTATTTATAGATGTCATTTGAAATATTTCAACGTAGACAATTCCTCTGACAGATTTTTTTTTAAGGAAAAGTAAAGTACTAAGTATGTCTTGAACCTTATATAAAAACTGTTTGTAGTATCTATATCTCTATTTTTTCCCAGATGTATTTTCCGTAACTACCAAAACATGTTAAAAAAATTGCAGCGATTGATTGTACGAGTGTGTACCTATCAATTGGCCGCTTTTAATTTGTGAAAAAATTTGAAAGAATGCCATGTGCAAATTCATGTGGTGCAATAACCTTACTGGTTGTAACACAGTTACAATTCTAATATTATTTTTGCTAACTTATACAGAGCTAACAAAAATGTAAATAAATTGAAAACAAGCCGTATACTTATTTTTTTTTACTTATTAATTTTGCACTACTGCTTTAGTCACATCACATCCACAGCCTTATAACCAGTAGCCAAGTCCAATGTTGAACATAGGTCTCTCCTTAGAAAGGAGGTTTGGCTTACTATATTACGCTATATCCGTCACCACACTGATGGTTTAGTATTTACAATATATTCAGTATACTCGCGTAATCGACGAACAGAAATATTGGTGGGTGCGAGTTTTGAACCGACTTCAAAAACACAAAAGAGGAGGTTATCAATTTGTCTGTCTTTTTTTTGTATGACCGTTATAGTATAGGTTTATTGACGTCAACATAATATCGATTTATTCATTATTCTGTGTGCATTAACCCTGGTTATAACAAAAACACGGACTAATTGTAGATAATAGTTTTCTTAGTTAAATAATATAGTTCATAATTACATTAAATTTAAGAGTATGTATACAAATACGTAGGTAAAAAATATTATTGAGATGATTAATTATGTTATTAAAGTAGGGATATGTAACTAGCTTTTCCATCTGTAGCCGCCTACGAGGCTTAGTGCGATGTGGTGGAACCAGTTCTTTCGTTTTAAGTTGCGCTCGTATTTTGCTTGACGGCGGAATTGGAAATACTCTTCTCGCTTTTCGGGAATAGCAGGCCCATACGTCGGTTTTGGCTTGAATGAGCGTTTCAGAGTCTGGAAATAGAAGATAGAATAATAAAATCATATGGATTTAAATTAAAAGAATCTAAATCTGTTTTGACTGTATACGTACCTCAATAATATTGCGAGATCTGTACTTGTAAAAAGTAATTATCATAAAGAGTGGTATTAATGCAATTCCAGCATACTGAAGCACGGAACCAAAAACTGAAAAAAAAGTGTAGCGTTAATATCTTCTTTCAATTAACAAATAACAAAATTAATTGCAGAGCGTTTGCTATTGCATGCAACCCTATTTCTAACTTTAAAATTTGGTAAACATACGCTTTAATTAAAAAAATAAGGTCATTATATTTTCAGAATTCCTATACTATACAATTGCATATTATTATTTTAGTCTAGCGGTTTCACACAGTATTTATTATAATATAATATAATTAATAAATTATAAAATAATTATTTACATATTATTATAATATATAAATAATTTATTATGATTTCAAAATAGTTGAATAAAACCTTCTTAAACATAATAAAAAACCGGTAATTATTCTCATTCTATATCCCCCTCGATACAATTTTTATTTATTTGAATCAAGTAACATAAAAAGAAACTCAGCAAAGTACGATTTGACTTTCTGTGCAGACGGTTCCGTAAAATAAGTTGCATTGCAAAACATTGAAAGATATTGAATAATTTACCAAGTTATTTTAAGAACTTACTGAGTGAGACTCTTATATAAAATATTAGTTAAGTGCAATTCTTTGCAGTGACTGAATAACGGGACGGGAATAGATAAAAACATTTTTTTTATCTATTCTCTTAAATAACTTTAAATTACTTATTTTAGAATAATAAAATAATGTGTTTAAGAAACTTCTACTAAGCTAATTTATTTGGCACTAGCTTTAGTCCACGGTTCGGTCGGTTACCACGGTAAAAACTAAGCTATGCTGTAGCAAACTCACTTTCACATTTATAATGTAAGTATCGAAGGATTATTAACTTCTTTTTAATTATTTAAAAAAAAGTTTGCATATCACACGACACAGATTGCTAATATTTTATTTAATTTTCTCCCTTATTGGTCTTTGCGTCTTTTAAATTCTTTACGTCAAATTTAAAACGTACGTGTGATAATGATGCTTGTTGTGTTTGGGTCACAGGAATTGATGGGTATACAAAATTTCAAACTGATCGGTTAAGTAGATTTAGAACCAATTGACGTTGAAAGACGGACAGACACACGCATGAGTGATCCGGTATCTATAAAAAGTAGCGCTTTTTCGTTAGAAATCACAGAACCCTAAAAAGAGAGAAATACTTACTATAAGCATATTCTGGATATTCATATGTTTGTCCAAACATGAGCCGTTCAGTTGTAATAAAGGAATAAAAGAAGACTGCTATCATCATGAACGGTGTAATGAGACCCCAACACATACGCCAGTAGAAAGAGCTCTTCAGACCTAGCATGAACTCAATGTCCAGACACATATTCTCTAGGCCTGAAAACCAAAAACATTGTATTACAGAAAGTTGTAACAATGACCTTAAAGAATAAGAAGGTTCACACTTCGTCCAAATTTTTTGTTAGGTATGTTTCCCATTTACAGTTTTTTTATTTTATTTGACACCGTATAATTCCTAGTTATTTCTAAAAAGCGTAATATTAATACTTTAAAAAACATTAAATGTAGCAAGTTTAAAGTGAACAGCGAGTTACTTTTAGTCACTAATGAACTTCCTTAATCGTAGCATTTTAGCTAATGCTTGATCAAAGTGGAGTTTACAAGTTGGAATATCATAGTTTGATAGAATATAATGAATATAGTTGGGATTTTTTTGTTTACAAGTTCACACATTAATGCATTTTTTCTTTCACATGACACATATTTGTAAGTTATTGGAGGTATTGAGTAAGATGACTGAACATAAGACTAGACATTGAAAATGGAGAACAAGGAAAGGAGAAAGTCGTATGTATTTCTAATTTAGGATTATCCATAAACCTATCCGCCGAGCGGATTAATTTATTTCAGGAGCGAAAGTGCGTGGAACTCAGCCATCTCCTCCTGCGAGCAAGATATGCACGCGAAGGAGATGGCGGAGCGGGACCGGGAGAGGTTTAGAATTCTCCCGGCCCGCCTGGCTAGGTACCGCAGATGACTCAGGCGCCGGAGATCGCTGAACGATCTCCGACGGGCTGAGAGCACGCGCGCCTTTTCCGGAGCACAAAGGGGAAATAGGGGTTCCCACACATCTTTGTCGGGGCACCAGGTACCTGTCGGGGCACCAGGGACTTCCTTTCTAGGGTATACCTGGTTCCCCGGCTATTAGTACCCGAGACGGCGTGCGGCTTAAGTCGGTTCAAGTCCGACATGCCACCGATAGGTGGTATCCGAGGGGATTTCAACACGGAAAAAAAAAGGGGTTCCCACACAGGATTTACACGCCGTAGATGGCCCGAGGTATCAGGGATTTCCTTTCTAGGATACAGCCTGTGAGGTGGGGTCATACTCCACTACTGAAACGTTTTTTATGGTGCAGGCTATATCTATGAGAAGGTAATGGGCAGGAGGAAGTCTAATAGACCTTTAAATCAGAGCCACATAAATGCAAAGTGCGCAATAAACTGACAGACTTGAGTTTTAAAGTCTTAACTCCAGTTTGGAAACCTAACCTCTCTTCACTTAACGTATCGCTTTGGTTATAGGAAAAGTTACATTAAAAAAGATATCCTTTAAGGCTAGTAATAAAAAAGGATGTGGAATAGAGCTAATTTTTAATTGCACTAAACAAAGTCGGTTTATCGTTTTACTTTATTATTAATTTGAATTATTTTATTACCGTAAATCCAAAAGATGCCAATAGTTTCCACTATAGCGGCAAACAGTCTCATGAAAGTTCCACCGTAGTGGTCCACCAATTCGAGGATATATTGTCCACCCTGTAATGAATCATATTATATTATAGAACAAATTATTTAGTATTTTTTATTGAAAGTCTTTTATGATAGATAATTAGTATTTTGGAACTTGGCGGAATTTAAATCTTCCGATCGAAATCTTCTTTAAATGTGGGATTTGAATATTTAAAATGTGTAGTTATTATAATATGTATGTGTATAAATGTTAAGTTGGGTTGTGTACGCTTTAAAAACTCTAAAAGTCCTATACCTAGTATAGTATACGAGTATATTGTCTAATGTATAGAGGTTTGGTGTACAAACCTAACAGGAAGATTGGCTAGAGAGCCTTTCTTTTTTAAGAGAGGGCAAACGAGCATACGGGTCACCTGATAGAAAGCGACTAACGCAGCCCATAAACGCCTGCAGCTCAGGAGTTACAAGCGCGTTGCCGGCCTTTGAGAAAGGAGTACGCTCTTTTCTTGAAGGTTTGGAGCTAGGTCCAGTCTGAAGGTCCGGAAATACCGCAGTCGATAAATTGTTCCACAGATTGGTTGTGCGAGGTAAAAAGTGTCTTGAAAAGTACACAGTAGTGCAGCGCCAGTTATTAAAGTGGTGGGGATGAAAGTCTTGCCGTGTGTAGCGATTACGGAAAGTTGCGGCCGGTATTAGTCGGACAATTCGGAGTACTCTCTATGATAGGTATATACGATAGGGAATGCAGAGTGAAGCTACATCTTTATGCAACGCCAAAGGATCGAACTGGTCGATCTTTTCGCTATCGACAATTCGGGTCGCTCTTCATTGGATACGATCCAGAGGGAGAAGCTGGTACTGGGGTGCCCCTGTATAGAGATGAGAACAATATTTCATATGCGGCCGGATTTGCACCTTATAGAGTTGGAGGCGGTGGGCCGGAGTGAAATACTGCTTCGATCTATTCAGCACACCGAGCTTCTTGCGGGGTGACTTAGAGGGTCAGGCCAATTTGACCTTACCCTCTAAGTGACCCAGAAACTGGACCTTGCTTTATATGTCGATGCCTAAGATTCCGATACTGGCTGTGGCAGTTAGGGAGCTGCTCCCAAACCGGGGCGATACGACAAGCAGTATTTTTTTTGCGGTGAACGCGCAAACTTGTGTCTTTTTGCGGTTGAAATGGACTAGATTTAGTCGACTCCAATCTGAAACTTCCGCTAACGAAGTTTCAATTTCAGATACAAGTCTGTTTTGACTCTCGATGACGTTTTCCCAAGAAATATTGGGGCGGATTATGGAGGTCACAGAACGACTTTCGTCCTCCATAAGTGCAGGCCTGGGAGGGACAGGCGAGGCCATCTGTCACCCTAGCAGAAGCAATCCGTCATCTATAAGCCATAGATGGCCCGAGGTACGTCGGGGTACGGGCTTTCCTTTCTAGGGTATACCTGTTTCCCCGGCTACTGGCACCTGCACACGGCGTGTGGTTTTTGGTCGGTTCGAGTCCGACATAACCACTATTGGGTGTTATCCGAGGGGACTCCCGCCCAGGAAAAAAAGGGTACAGCTAGTGTTATCTTAGTAAAATTAAACGAATGAATATTAAAATCGTGATAATTATTAACTTACCGGGGTTACAAAAACGAGTCCAATAAGGAAGTTGCAACTGCAAGTCACAGCCGCCATATACACTGTTGGAACTTTGGGAAATGCATCGAGCAATATAGTGTTTGCTGTTGAGTGTAGCGCCACACCAGATCCTACACCCAATACTGTCATCATCAAGAAGAAAAGCACGGCAAAGAGCTGAAATATAAATAAAAAATGAATGCGAAGCTGTGCACAGTTTTGGATTGATGACGAAATACCAAGGTCTGGACATGGCACGGCGGCTTAGCCTTTACACTTATGGAGATAATTGAATTAAAGAGAACTTGTTACCGACCCGGATCATTGCTCATGAGTGTTACATTATTATGACGTCGTACTTATAGCGCAATAAGTTACTTAGGGATTGGTATTTTATGAGAAAGCGCATTCCATAATATTATTAATAGTGACAAATATCATGATCTATAGCTATATAAATATATGTGTTAAGTCGGTCTGTGTATGCTTCAAAAACCCAAAAAGTTCTGCACCTACTACTACTTCTACTATTGGGTTCAAATTTTGAAACGATATGCAACCCGCAATTATGATGTTTCTGTAGCATGTAATTATGTTGATAAACATTTCATTTCATTTCAAAGATTACACTTTTTCCTCATTTCTCATCACTGCAACCACAATGTGCCACAGTGGAGTGTGTCAGGGTACAGCTGGTTAAAAAATATTACCTATAAGTATAGTTAGTAGGTACTTACCTGGGGTACAAAGGGTGACTGCGCAATCGCATCTGGGTATGAGATAAAAGCCAGACTCGAGCCTCCAGATCCAATTACTTGATTAATATCATCATATCCCAGCTGGTATGCTAGATTTCCAAGCACCCCGAATATAGTAATACCCGAGATCAAGCTGGTGAATGTGTCTAGTGTAGTCACGATCAATGAGTCTCTATAACAAAACAAAGGGACTTTATATTTATAAAGTTTAAAAGAATAAAACATCGGACAAAATTACACTGCAAAATCCATCTATTGATTTTGAGTTCTGGCCACCCCATGTCAACTATAAATCTACTCAACCGGGTTTGCTTCCGTAGCCTTGTAAAAAAGAGGTGTTAACAGATAGACAGCGTACATACAGTATGCGGTCTATGTATCTACACTCGGTTCCAAAAATTACGGGTCAGTCACAAAAATTGAAATACCTCCAGAAATGTAAAAGTTAGATCACTGAAATAAAACAGAATAAAGACTTTTTAGTCGCGCTTCTAATAGCATATTATTTAAACTGGTTGATGAAAAAAACTTCATTAGAAAAACAAAATTTAAAAAAATGACTATTTTTAAAAACAAATCATTTCATTATAGATGCTTTCCATTTCTATTCTGTCACAAAAAAATTTATCGTGAACGTCTTCCATGTGCATAATTATTATTCTGTGAGGTGAAGCATGGCAGTCACGCTAGAGGAATGTACCAGAATCCTAACTTTTTTGGAACTTGGGCGGAGCCAGCGTGAAACAGCCAGAAACATTGGTGTATCTTTGTCGACTGTTCAGCGCGTAGTCCAGCGGTACCAAGAGACCGGATCACACCTTAGAAGACCAGGAAATGGCAGAACAAGATGCACAACGGCCAGGGAAGACAGACAACTGGTGGCTACAATGCTCCGAAATCGTTTTCAAACTGCTGTTGGTCTAAAAACTCACTTTATTCGATTTGGAGGTGGCAATTTAAGCGCTCAAACAGTAAGAAGACGTCTTGCTGAAGCAAATTTGACATCATTGATGCCCGCAAATGGCCCCAAACTGGAACGGGGACATCGAATTGCAAGACACAGATACGTGCGTGAGCACCTAAACTGGACACTAGACGATTGGTCTAGGGTAATGTTCACGGACGAGTCTAAATTCATGCTTTATAAGCATGATGGTAGGCAGTTGGTGTACAGAAGACCAGGGGAGCGCTTCCATCAAGCGTGTGTGGAGGAAAAAGTGGCGTACGGTGGAGGCTCCGTACAAGTTTGGGCTGGGATTTCTACTGAGGCCCGCACCGAGCTGGTACTCATTCAAAATGGAACTCTAAATGCAGAGAAGTACGTGGAAGAGATCGTCAATGAACATGTAGGTCCTTTCATGGTCAGGATGTACTGGCATGGCATATTAATGCATGATAATGCGCGTCCCCATACCGCCAGAATTGTACATGACTACCTTGAAGAGGTCGGTATCGAACTCATGCAGTGGCCAGCGCGAAGCCCGGACTTAAACCCCATCGAGCACGCCTGGGACGAGCTTCAGAGATGCGTGAAAGGTCGAAACCCCCCACCAATCACGCTTCCCTAGCTCAAACAAGCACTGGTGGAGGAATGGGAAGGTATTCCTCAGCACCGACTCCGAAATTTGGTGTACAGCATGCCTAATCGCCTGGAAGCTGTAAGAAGCTCGTGGAGGCAATACAAAGTATTAAATGAAGAAAGTGATGAAAAACAGCAAAAAAACAATCATAAAAAATGTAATCTTAAGAAAAATATGACTACTTTAGTTTTATTTTTTTAATTTAGAGATAAGTTAAGAGTTAGAGAGTTTAGGTTTAAGTTCTATTTTATTTTTTTATCTGTATAATTTAATTCTCAATTGAACAGTCTTCGTTTCATTAGGATGGCATACGTAGTTCGGGAGATATTCGGGTTTATGTGACTGACCCGTTATTTTTGGAACCGAGTTTAGATATATAGATATATAACACCGCTAGCCAATAAGTCCTATACGACACTTGGCTTACTATTAATTTTTTGTTCGTATATTTGGCGAACAAGCAGGCGGTCATGGACATGGACACACAACTCAAGAATCACAAGAGCATTCTTGACCTTTGAGTGTCCACTCCTATGCTAACGAAAGAATTGCTTAATGTTGGTTTTCTGAGCCTTTGGAATCACCCTGGTCGAGCTGGCTTACATGTATACAAGCGTGGCTCTTATATGATTGAAAGATGTAGACGTCTTTGTCTAGTCGACAACCACAATAAAAAAATTACAGCAACGGAATCAAAACTGTAGGAGTTACGACTAAAAGCTGTTAGTTTATTATTAGTTTAGTTTACCAGTTAGTTATTCCATTATAACCTATTTTTATAAACATTGATTATTTGTAACCAGTATTATTAAAATATTTGATATTCAAGACGATAGGCGTCATAAATTTGATATAATTTTGATTTTCATAAATCAGCCCCCGTCAATTTTAACCTTTTATGTTTTCCTGCAGTTAATTAAATTATTTCATTTTTTTTAACTTAAGGAACTTAGCAATTATTAAATAACTTAATTGAAATCTATGTTAATATTTTGATTCGGATATACTTAATAATAAATACTATATTCAATCACCATCAAACCTCCTTTCTAAGGAGAGCCCTATGTCCAGCAGTGGACTATTAAAGGCTGTTGATGATGAATAAAGACTATATTTAAGAAATGTTAATAAAGAAAATGAGACAAGTAATACCACATTTGGTATTAGACTAAGAATATCGAACTTTTCGACGGTTTTGGTACTTATATGTAGAAACTTTTATAAGATATTGTAAAATATTAGTAATAATTAAAATAAAGTAAATACACAATAAAATTACCTGTAGACATTTTGTTTAAAATTATTATAAGATGAGAACATGATGAGAGCTCCAGAACAGACGGATAGGGAGAAGAACGCTTGGGTGACTGCTGCGTACCAAACCTAAAAGAAAATATTATGCAACATAAGTCTATTTATATACTATTGTTTACATTAATACTTTATGCAGAATAAGTTCAGAGGCGGACTTAATGCCAAAGGCGTTCTCTGCCAGTCTACTTTATATGGTTGTAGTGTATATAGTATATTCACTACAACCATATAAAGTAGACTGGCAGAAGACGCCAAAGAGGAGAAGAGGAGAACACCAACTTCAGATGATAAGCAACTACCCTAGGTCATGTGAAGAATAACTTGGAATACAATAATTTTCTAGAAGCAGAGATTTCTATTATGATTACAGTAAAACTACAATAAGAAAAGATAAGAAAGAAGTGTAGTTTACGAGAAGTGGTTAAATTGAGGGCGCGCAAATGACGACGCTGACGACGTGATGAATCGCTTAGTTGCCGATTCACCACGTCTTCAGCGTCGTCGTGTTATAATTCATATAGGAAGGAGGAAACACGATAATACTTTCGAAGATTAAAATGTATTCAATACCGTTGATAAGAATACTGCTTATTAAGAGCGTTACATTCAGTTTGCCCTTACATATAGCACTTACATTAGCATAGATAATAATGAGCAGAATCATAATTTACTAATAATAATAACAAATCTGAACCAACACAGTTTTATTATAAGACTGTACTCTGTTAAAACCAGAGATGCTTTAAATCTTTGGCTCATACTAGTAACCTGGACTTGCCAGTGAAGAATAGCATCAATAAACCTAGATCCTTGACTGAGGAACTAAAAAATATAGTAAAACCATTCAAAGTTATAGATGGCAGTCTATCTAGATCTAACCTTCTGTTTATTTATTAATTAGACGTTGACTGAAAATAGTGGTTAAGCATTTTTTTTTTAATACTTTATGCACGTATAAACTTTGCCGAGTTTTTCCATCCTGATTTCGAGAGGAATTGCGTTCCATAGCAGGACAGTTTGTACCAAAAAGGCAGAGCGTACGATGTCAGAGCTGTGAGTAGGACATTGAAAAAGCAAGTTGTTTGAAGACCTATTGTGGTTTCCACCTAAATATTGGAATTTAATAGTTAGGTAGGAAGGAGAACTTGGAGAGAAGAGTAAAGAAAAAAGGATAGTTAGTGTCCGTGTCTGTCTACGTTGGCAAATTGGAAGTCCCTTCAAATGAGAACGATGCTCAGACACGTGATCATATTTGCGTAAATTGAAGACAGATCGAATGCCATTATTGAGAAGACGGTCAAGCTTATTGAGGATAAGGATTTTACTGTCAAATTAAATCTATCGAAATAGTCACCAACAGTCAGGTCGCGATTTATCTTACACCTAGCCTCAGATATATTATGTACGGTGCTTTGTTGGTGCAAGTCTCCAGAACTAAGGAGATACGCACACCAAACATTCTGACTGACGAAATTTATAAACGTAGAACATCATAGACGAAATAAATACCGTCTTAAGAGGCACAAAATCACTCCACCTATTACCTCACGTCAAGTTATGACTTTTGGACCCTAGTAATGCTTTTAATACTGTTGACTATACTTAGTATATTACGCTCAGTTATATCTGCTGTGACTATGACTGCGAACAAAGGAATGGATTAAATCATGCCATATGTTAAGTACATCAATATTTTGTAGAACATGCAGGCTAGCTGTAAAAGTTTACGAGATTGGAGGCCTTATGAGTAAAGAGATCACGTCCATGATGAAATATTATTTGATGTATGCTCGGACTCTAAACTCCAGAAACTATTCGAGTTTTTAGAAGAAATCAATAACGGGGATAATATACACCAGAAGCACTGGAAGAACGAGAGGAAGAAGGAGGTGAGTGGTAGACCTATTTCTTAGCATTCAATGGATGCACTGTGCGGTTGCATCCATAGAATACGTGGTAGACCGGGGCAACACATGCGACTTCGACAACACCTGGGAATATTCAACCAGATATACCGTAAAAAACAAAAACTATAAAAAACAAAATGACACAAAAAACATGAAAAATTACATCGTTCATAACTTACTCTTAATTCCAAGATTCTTCCCCACTCAGGTGTAATGAAGAACATAATACCCATACCAGCGCCTGGTAATGTGACAGCCCTAGAAAGACAACATTGGTTCTAAAGCAATCATTAATTGTATTTAATTGAATATTGTATCGCCTAAGCATTAATAGATGTTGAACAAGTGTTACGTTGTCAACACGATCATCTTCTTAAATGACAAGATCACACAAAGTTCCTCCTGTAAAGAATACTAGTCCTGCGCGTCATTGCTTATTCTTGTTACAGAGTCAACCTCTCTGGTTGTGGTATCACCGGGTCGGTCAGTCATTGTTGCTAATAGTCCATTAGTAAACACGGAAATCGATTTTTTTAACATACCTTTAGGGCGTGAAATGTTACAAACAAGTACTCTCACACATTTATATTAACTTTTAATAAGCACTGGTTTAGTTTGAAGAATAAGAGATATTTAATATCTTACCTTATTAACAAGATGAGCATAACGAAATATGGAAACAATGCGAGAAAATAGGCGGCTTTGCCCGAACTTTTAACCCCACGAGAAATGATGACAAAAATAATAATCCAAGACACGAGTAAAGCGACCGTAAGATCCCATAGAGGTGCACCTGAAAAAAATCATTGCAATACATATCGTTAAGGTCACCCAAAGTCTATTATAACCATAAGTTACAGTTTTTTTTGTTCTTACCAATGCCATCATGAATTCCATCTGACTGCCGCAAAATAGTTTGCCTGTAAATATTAAATTGTTGTTATATTAAAATAAAGTAAAAATTAATTTGCACTCGTACTTCGTCCACGTGTTGGGCTTGTGAATATTTATATTAAAAAACAGGGTCAGATAGTAATATAAAAAAAAACTTTTATGGAAGAGGGGGCAAACGAGCAGACGGGTCACCTGATGGAAAGCGACCACACCCGTGAACGCTTGCAACTCAGGAGTCACATGCGCGTTGCCGTTGAGGAAGGAGTGCGCTCTTTTCTTGAAGGTTTGAAATACCATAGCCGATAACTTGTTCCACTGCTTGGTTATGCGAGGCAAAAAGTGTATTGAAAAGCGCACAGTGGTGGGATGCCAATTATCCAAGTGGTGGGGATGAAAATTTAAAAACATTTTACGAAAAACATTTTATGAAATTTAACGACTGCTCGTAAGCACTTCATAAGATTTGTAATGATGATTTTTATGATAGTAAACTTACGTGAAATACAATTCAGCACTGCTCTTTGGTTCTCCTATAACTATAGATTCATTAACACTTTGACCAGAAGGCACACAGTTGAGCCATTCTGGTTGGCAAACGGCCCACGGTAGCGTGGATTGAAAGCTCATAACTAAGTAGTACAGGCAGAGACCGACGATAGACATATAATAAGTTACCACGTAGATTGCGCTTAGGGCTTGAGCATAACCAGTTCCTGAAATCATGAGCGTAAGTACTTCTGTAGTACAGTAAAATAATTGTATTTACAGTAATTATAAGTACATATTTGAATTATTCAACAAATTGCTATATTAGTCTTAGCAAAAGAATCACTTACATACCTTTCATAGCAGGTGCTAAAGCCCAAATCTTTACACAGTTACTGCTGCTGAACTGTCCAAGAGATGTTTCTAGATAATACATGGGTTTTCCTATGAGAATCAGTACAATGATGTACGGTATAAGGAATGCTCCACCTCCGTTTTGATAGCAGACGAACGGAAACCGCCAGACGTTGCCCAGACCGACTGAGGTCGCAATACATGACATAAGGAATTCCCACTGGCTGTCCCATTGTGGACGACTTTTTGGTGCCTGGAATTAAATAGGTTCATTTGTTTTGATTATCTGTGTGGTGAAGGATTAAGAATACAGAGTGTCACCACCCCTATGTCGTAAGAGCCGACTATGGGAAAAAAACTACGCAGAACAACAGCACTGCAGAGAGAAGGAAAACTTGACACAAACCCTATACCAACCCGTCTGGCCAGCGTGGTATAGTAGGCCAAAACCTCCTGTCTAAGGAGAGGCTTATGTCCAGCAGTGGACTATTAAAGGCTGTTGATGTGATGATGATGATGTGATTGTTTTGATATTTTTTACACATATTGTCGCCAAAGATAAGAGACAACAACAAACGTGCGAGCTGCTTCACTTACATATTTTAATAAATCAATAAATCAAGTAGAGTGCAACTTCAAAACTTAGCGAGATTGATTGACTCACGTGGCTTCTATAAATGCACAACATATAACCAAAAGTTAAATTTCATTTGATGGAAACGTCAGTTATAATTAAAAAAAACACAGCTTTTATATTATAACAGAATTAATATGTACTTATTCGACTTATATTTAAGTTAAATAATCTTCTAGTCTACTGTTTCCACGACTATAGATAGTGATTCGACAGTATCGCGTGTCGATTAGGCTTTCTTAACACCTACTTATGCTGGGGTTAAACGATCTGTTCTAAGATATAGTAATGTCTATCAAGATTGGTTTATTTTTATAAATAAATCAAATGAACATGTTAACCAGTACAATGAATATAGCAGTATTGTTGGGCTGTGGGCAGGGGTGGCGAGGTCCACAATGCCTTGGTAAAAAAATGTGACCTTCACACATGTTATGGCAAATAAAAAAGGTCTATCATCACCTGACTTAAAACAAGAAGATATTCAGGAATTCATTGTTTTCAGAAGCAATACTTTCGATTCATAATTAATATAATTGTAGGTAGCAGAATACAGAGGTCAATGGCATCTGTGCAACGTTTTCTATAAAACACAAGGTCAAGAACTTCAAATAGCTAGGTGTAAGCCTTTTCATAGTAACGAAGCAGTTTATCCTCACGAATATAAATTACAATAACTAAAAAACATTGTAACTAATTACAACCATTTTCCAAAAAAGCGGTGTAAACGGTAGCTTGCAAAACTACGATTACGAATACAATAAAAATACCTCAATCATATAACAAAGTTAAATTTTGTCAGAGGTAAAGCGTTCAAACGCCTGAACGATTCGTCAACAGTTCTCGACCAGGTGGCATAGAGAATGTATATTAAGTTTAAACCTCTCATGTCTTGATATTTTAGGAAGATTTTTTCCATAATGTGTACTCTCCATTACATCAAGAAGACTATCGATATTGATACTTCAATGAGGGGGGTCCCCCCTCCCCCGCATTGAAGTATCAATATCGATAGTCGATAATATCGACGATATTACACGGCACGGTTATTAAACGGCACGGTAATTTCGTTGATGCTGTTTGTGTATCAACGAAATTACCGTGTTCGTCTGTAAGTTCTAATTCAAAACCCAAACATCGCACCTCCCATATTTTCACGTCAAACAAAGCGTAAAGTAACAAAGCGTTTTAATCTAATCATTTGTGTTTTAAATGTTAATATATACTCGTATAGTTATTTTATTACCATTTATTACCAACGGGAAGGCCTTATCTACGATTTTACAAGTAAAATGCGTCAGAAAGAATGTAACTGTAATAGGTAGCAGAACAAATGAATAGGATATATTAAATAAATATGCTAGGGTAATAAATATATAAATATCCATTTCTTTTAGACTATAAATTCAAATATTATTTTTTCTAAGGGTGTTTACACACCAAAACCGGCCCGCACAAACCTGGCGGGTTAGTGCCGGCATGCAAACGGCTTCAGGAAGTTGTGAGTGGAACAATTTTGCCGGCGGCACGAGGGTCGCGGCATATTACAGTAGTGGTTTTTAACGATAGAAGTCTACTAGTTTAATAACTTGTTTCGATATCCCGTTCCATATTGTTTAAGTTGATGAGAAACACGGACACATCACCTCACTATTCCTTAAAACTAAATAAAATTAAAGGGTGTGCAACTAAATGAGCGGAGGGGCTTTTTTTTTACGTGTGGAAACCCCCTCGGGCCGTCACCCCACCGGGGTTTGCGGCGGGGTGGTGTGTCAGTATCGGACCGATTAAAACCACACGGTGTGCCACTCTGCGCTTGTAATAGAAGGGATCCGGGAACTGCTGTTATTAAGACATCCGGACCCCTCCTAGCGCTTGCCCGCAACGGCGCGGGCACCACCTTCGGGTACATTCTCTATTTAGGCGACGTCCATAGCCTCAGAGATCACTGACACTCGCAAGGCCCCCCACGGCGACAACGTGAGGATACAGTTTGGAGGGGCTTGCCACAGGGTAGCTTGCGCGTGCTCGTGAGTTAGCTATGTAGATGCCCTAATGGGTCTAATGGGCCTAATAGGCGCCCTAATGGGCATTTATTATTTTATTTATTTATTTTTAACTTTTTGCACAAGTACATGCATCGGCGGACTTAATGCCTAAGGCATTCTCTGCCAGTCGACCGATTGGGCGATGCTGAGAAAGAATGAGGTAGGTGCATTTATGATAGGGTATAAACGATAGTGGTTTTGTTAAATACCAACTATCTTGGAATTTGGTGTATACGTCGTAATACCACACACATACACATACATATACATACTCATAAATATATACATACATACATACATACACATATATATATATACATACACATACACATACATATATGAAAAAAATAAAAAAAAAAAAAAATAAAAAAAATTAGCCGATGAACTAGGAGCTCGTTGAATCTGCCATTTCGCTCAGCAATAGCTCTTTCACTTTCGTCTTAAAAGAGTACCGATTTGTAGCCATCCTGACTTCGTGAGGAAGCGCATTCCATAAGAGGACAGCCTGGACAAAGAACGAAGAGCCGACAAACCCAGTGGTGTGAGAAGGACAGAGTAGAAGAAGATTGTTGGCCGAACGAAGGTTTCTGTTGTGGTTGTTGCATAACAATTGAAATTGTGTTGTTAAATAAGTAGGAGGGGAAGGGGAATTGAGGATAGTGTACATAGTTGTGAGAGCGCGCATTTTCCTGCGTTGACGAATAGGTAACCATCTTAGTTAGGAACGAAAATCGGAGATATGGTCATACTTACGAAGATTGAAGATGAATCGAATGCAGTTATTGATGAGACGATCTAGCTTGTTGAGAAGATCTGCATTCAGGTCATAATAGCACACGTCACCGTAGTCGATTAAAGGGAAGATAAGAGATTGCACGAGCGCTGTCTTAGTTTTCACGGGAAGAAAAATTTTCAGGCGATATAATGTTCTAAGAATGCCGGTTAATGCATTTAACTATAATGTACAGGTTATCACAAAAAACTAGTGAATGTTGTGTTAATTTTCATATTTTTTCTGTTATATCAACCTCTCTCTCTCTCTATATATATAAAAGTCTGCATATTAACGGCCGCTACACCGTTAAATCGCGGAAGACAGTGTGCTAAACATTGTTGTCTCGTTTCCTCGGTCATCCCACACTCGCACCTGTATCTGCGTCACCGCGGGGCCGACTGGTCAGGCAAAAATACTTTTGAGCGCAACATCATACTATTATAATCCCATATAACCCAAATGATTCACCATTAAGTAAAAACTAAAACTCTATAAACGGACTCAACCAGATAACCTGCAGATTAATAAGTTAATCTGCACTCTAGCTGGTTTACGCACATTAGCGGCAACATATTGACTGCAGACACTTATAAATAATGGAATAATGAGTAATAAAATGTTTTTCCCAGGTATGTTGTTTTTTTTTAATGAAATCAGAACCTTGTAACTCACCTACTTTTTAAAATTGAAGCAACACAATGTCCGATATACAGAATAGATAATATTCTGTACATTACTCTGATAAATTGAATTCTTGGCCTCATTTTAAACATTTAGCAACATTTGTTAAACGGCCTTTCACAACAAATTCTTACAATACTGAAATATCGTGTACAATGCTTATTTATTTACAATACTATTATATGAATTGCCTATAATATTTGCATGCGGTTTCGTTTGCATGACGCTGTCTTTTCTCGTTTCATGAACCAATTCTAAAAAGGAGGAGGTTCTCAGGTATGTATAAACCGATAATAATAATTATTTTTTCAATTCAATAAGTTGTATATACGATTGCTTGGTTTAGGTTCAATTATACACGTTTTTAATAGTGTATAATTAATTGGGAAAACTTTTTAAATGTAAATTGTTTTACTCAAGTACAATTGTATTTTTAGTAGTAGTAGTATTTTTATAAGTAAATATACATCCTCCATCTTTCACTTAAGACTACTAGACTATAATGAAAATAAATCTTAACCTATCCCTACACAATTTCAGATTGAGGGTTAGAATGGCGCATTTCAAAAAGATTTGTAAATATAAAACATGATTCTTTAAGAATAATAAAAAAAGGTTTCTACGAGACTCTTTAAGTTCTGTTTCTGTTCTTCTGTGTTGAAAACCTTTAAGTTAAACATAATTGTTAGGGGGAAGTTTCAGAGCAATGCGTTTCGTTATTATACTCGTATACTGTCAAACGGTGTGTAGTCCATCTCGTTTTAACGGACAGAGGTCGTGGCTCGGAACCTTGCCCTCCCGTCACTCGTTATGTACGGTTACGAATTAAAGTTATCGATCCTGTTAAACTACTAAATCTTTCTTTTAAAAATTAATATGTAAATATTCTAATTTTATGGGTCAAAGAAATTACTTAATTATTAAAATTATTTGTCATAATATATTATGACAAGTAATTTTTATACAGTGTAGCTAGCTATGATACTTGAATATAGTCCCTTGAGCATAATAAGGGTTCCGTACCTCAAAAGGTAAAAAGGAACCCTCATAAGATCACTTTCTTGTCCGTCTGTCCGTGTGTCACCACCGATTTTCTCAGGAACGGGTAGACCTAGCAAGTTGAAATGTATACCAGATACTGAGGTCTATGGTCCCTATTATCAAGGTCTTGAGTCAACACGCTAAAAAAGATATGGGCAAATTTAGATTTTCGCTAAAACTTGTAAGTACCAAATTTACCTTCATTTTCATTTTTTTTATTTTTCAGAATTTTCTCTTTACTTGTGCTATGATCTTGCTTTTACCAAAATTGACAATTCTGGGTCAACCGGATGTACCCAATAGGTTTTGGGTCGAAAACCTATATGGTAGTTCCCGTTGACCTTAAATCACGAAATTTGGATCTTAGAATAAACTGGTGGTAATAATGCAATCTTTGTTACAAGTACGTTACGTTTAAAAAAGCGACACTAATACAGCATAGTTCTACTCGTAATACTAAGGACACGTTTATTTAAAATAAATTAAAACAGTAATCTGCGGTGTTCTAAATAAACCAATTTAATAAATCGGTTCCCGCATCCTGATAGGTTTTCATCTTCACTTAAAAAGTTACCATTACTTCTATAGAGAGTAAAATTCTTACCAACGGCAATTACTTTAAAACGATTACCAGAAACGAAACTTATTACATGACTTCAAATACAACACACTTTTCTTTACGAACATTTTATTTGGTTTTTCTTGCTAATTAATTGACAAGTGTCATAGTTTAAAATACTACTCACGTTTTCTGCCACAGACACATCTGAAGCTAACTGCTCCTTTGTGGGTTGAGGTTTTGACTTGAGATCTCCATTTTCTGGGGATGGATCAAAACCTGCGTTCACACCATCGTTGATTTTATTCCCTTCCTAAAATTTAATAAATATATTGCCAAGATTCTCTGGAGTCAGCTAGATCTTTTATGATAAAAAAAACTATGATATTTATTTCTTAATGAAAATTAATGTTTGCGTAGCCTACCAATCTCAGCGAAAAATATATTTTACCATTGGACGTTTATCGACGTAGCGGTCAGATGATTAGCACATCACTACAACCACCGTTAGAATGAGATATCTTTTTTCTCTTGTATATCAACGAAATGAATATGATTTGGTATGTTATCTTACCTATATTTTATCAGAATAGGTATATCTGTTATCAGATTAAGTTAATCGCTTTAGGGTGGGTATCCATCTAATCCGTACATTTGTATAGATTACATTAGGAATATCTAAATGCTAACACCCCTCATAAATATTTATTACTATTATTACTATATATTTATTACATTCCCAATACAAGGTCATAAAGGAAAACAACCAAAATGTTGCAATGTTAAACATTACGTTATTTCATTAAATGTTAAAGAAATTTGTAGTTTAGGGAATAAATAAGGTAGATTCCTAGGTTAAAAGTATATCGTTATCTATCGTTTTGTGTGCAGGTAGCTAAAAAGGGTTTAGGTTTATAAAAGTATTAATGGAGCAATTTATGACTTTTTAAATATAATAATGGCAAAAGTAGATAGTAAGATACCAGTGTGAGCTATTTTCTGTGATATGATTCAAGCTTTTGATTATTCGGATCATGAAATCCTATTTGGAAAGCTTGATTATTACGGTATACGGTATACGAGGAAATGTCCTAAGTCTAATAAAATCATATCTGACTGACCAGAATAATTCAACTGAAGGAAGGAAGAAGAAACGTATATCTCTCATATGCGAACAGTGAAATATGGCGGAGGGCAAGGTACTGTCTTGGGTCCCTTGCTGTTTATATTATACATAAATGACTTGCCTAAAGTAACTGATCATCAAATTACATTATTTGTGGATGACAGTACAGTTACTATAGAATGTAGAAATTAAACAAAATATGAAAATGACATAAAAGGTGCAGCGTTTATGTAATTTTCATATTTTGTATATTAAAAATAATAAATTGGCTTGACAATAATAACTTTCAGATAAATTTACCTATAACTAAGTCAATGCAATTTTCACAAAGACGTTACAAAGTTTGAACATAAAACACGACAAAATAAAAGTTTCTGAAGTTATCACAACGAAATTTGTAGGGTTAACTTATAACAGTAAATTAAATTGGAAATTACACAGAGGCTTTATGCAATAAAATCAGTAATTCAGCATATACGATGTATTCGAGCCATGTTTAATTTAAATAGCTGTAAACCATACTTTGTAAGGCACGATATCTTAACTTTACCGTCTTAATATACATATTTGAAACAGCCACTTTTATAAAATTAAATCCTGAATTTTTTTAGACTTTGGCAGACACTATTACACTTAGTAGAAGAACAAATACACGCGATAGGCTTAGCATACATAAAGCAAATATAGCTTTATTGCATAAAAAACATCTTCAACATGGCGCCGCCAGTCATATATAACAGGTTACCTAATGAATTAAAAAGTTAAATATTAATCTATTTAATAGCATTTCCTCACTAAAAAGTCATGAAGGCGCTTCCTTGACTTTTTAGTAAATATTATTCAAAGTAGAAATACTATAATGTCAAATATCTTACGTTTAAATCAAAATTGTCGCATGGCAGTTCTACTCTTCCATTGAAAACGATTTCGTTTATCGATAAATGTAAAAAAATAAGATGTCCGTTTTTTCAGTCAAAAACCATAATGTGGAGCCTAGGTACCTGCCGGCGCTATTTAGGTATACGGTACGAAGAAATTCCATACTAGTGTTATAATTTAATTATTTATAAAGCTCATAAAGCCTTGTTCTACCTTTATATATACCTGCCGTGGCCTATTCACTGAAGGTTGTAGCACCTTTAACATCAGCTTGCAAGCTCAAGCATCAAGCTGTTCAACAACTTGGCAAGCGTCTTAGCATAGTAGAACAGGTCTCTAGGTCTAATAATGTAGAACTACAATGCGTACCGGAAAACAAATCAGAAAACCTAACTACCACTGTACTCTGTAGTACAGTGGTAGTTAGTAATACAGTGTACAGTAGTACAGTGGTAGTAGTTAGTAAAGTTATTAACTGCGATATGGAAGACTACGACATATTACACTGCACTAGAATTGCTAAAATCAAAGTAAAAGGCCTCGATCGATACTCATCATGCCTAGTAGTCCTCGTCTACGTGATAGCTTCCTCGCCGCAGCTTTTAAATACAACAGGAAGAATGCTCATGAAATATTAAACACCAGTCACCTAGGTATAGCAGTGGAAAACCCTTTACCTATATATGTTGGCGAACACCTAACAGCTGAAAATAAAGCACTCCATGCGGCGACGAGGTTACGTGGAAGAGAGCTGGGATACAAGTTTGTATGGGTCCGTAATGGAAAAATCTTCGTTAGGAAAAGCGAGACCACACAAAGCGTCCTTATCAATAGTTTGGATAAGTTAAAATTTTTAACATAAGCACTTTAAATTTTAAATAAGTAACTGAATTAATTGTTTTTGCATGTTTTAGTTGTCGCTTATGCTTACATACAATTGTTCACTTCATTTTTATTATCAAAATGTACGGGGTTTAAGAACTAAAACTGTTGAAATGTATAAAAGCGTATCGATACATAACTATGATATTATAGTACTTACGGAGACTTGGTTGCGCGGCGGCGTCTGTGACTCAGAGTTGTTTGATGATAGATATATCGTTTATAGGCGTGATCGTGAAAAAAGTAAATATAACACTAAAAAAGACGGAGGTAGAGTATTGGTTGCTATCTCTAAGCATCTAAAATCATGCAGGCTATCACATCTCGAAAGTGAGGTTGAAGATTTATGGGTGAGTGTAGACATTCTTTCAAATAACATAAAACGAAAATTATTCATCGGAGGTGTATACTTACCACCACCAATTCAACACGATATATTAGAGATATATACAAATAATGTGCAAAAGATTATAAATAAGAGTGATAACATTTTAATCTTAGGAGATTTTAATCTTAGTAACATTTCATGGATTATGGACAATAGTCACAATTATTTGAATCCGGAGTGCAAAAATACTGACACAAATACGATATTCACAAATTTTATGTTTTTTACCCCTTTAAACCAATACAACCATATTTTAAATAGTAAACTTAGAATCTTGGACAGAAAATATCTAGCGTTGTAGTTTAGGTATATCAAAAGAGGATCCTTTGCACCCGCCAGTTGAATTTTATTTACCGTTACAAACGGATTGCCAGTTGGAAAGGAAAGCCGTTGTTAAGCCCAACTTTTTCAAAGCCGACTATGAAAAGGTATTGGATGCATTATTGTCTGTACAATGGGCAAGCGACTTCGAAGCTTGCTCTTCAGTTAACGAAATGGTAGATGTATTTACAACAAATTAAAACAAATAATATCAACCACCATCCCCCTTTTTTTTTCCCGTGCGGAAATCCCCTCGGATACCACCTGTCGGTGGCATGTCGGACTCGAACCGACTAAAACCGCACGCCGTCTCGGGTACTAATAGCCGGGGAACCAGGTATACCCTAGAAAGGAATATAAAGGAATATACCCTAAAAAGGAATATACCTCATGTTTTCATTAAGCGCTGCGCAGAAGCTCTAGCGTACCCTCTTCAATTAATATTTAACAAATCCATGTGTGAAGGCACCTTTCCGAGTAAGTGGAAAGAGGCTCTAGTGGTGCCTATATAAATCTGGCGAAAAGCATCTTGTGAAAAAGTACAGACCTATTTGTATACTAATAACATTTGGCAAAGTGTTCGAAAAACTTGTTAGTAAACATCTAATGTGGTACCTAAAACAACACATAACTAAACATCAACATGGCTTTATAAAATCTAGGTCCCCTAATACTAACTTATTAAGTTTTACAGCTGCTATATCCGAGTGCCTAGATAAACGTATAGCAGTAGATGCGACCTACACAGATTTTAGCAAGGCATTCGACAAAGTGGACCACGACCTTCTCACAAAAAAACTTGCTCAGTTTGGTGTCGATGGACCATTAATTGAGTGGCTTAAATCATACTTACAAGACAGAACTTTCCAAGTAGTTGTAAATTGATATTCTTCTGCTAGTTGTAAAGCTACCTCAGGAATTCCTCAGGGGTCTCATCTAGACCCAATCCTTTTTAATGTTTTCAATAACGACATAGTCAATTGCTTTTGGCACTCTCAATTTTTTTTTTGCCGACGATTTAAAAATCATGAAACCAATTCGGACAGATAAAGATGCGAAAATGTTACAGGAATATATAAACAGACTATCAAATTGGTGTAAAGAAAATAAAATGCAATTAAACACAAGCAAATGTTATTACATTCAATTCACCCGAAATAAACACATACTAAATAATAGCTACAATATTGAAGGTGTCCCAATAAACAAGGTTAATGTTATTCGCGATTTAGGAGTTCTACTGGATAGTGTACTCAAATTCGATGCTCATACATTACACACCGTTGCAAGGGCGTTTAAGGTACTGGGCTTCGTCTTAAGAAATTGTAAAGGTTTCAAAAAATCTTTTACTAAAATACAGCTATTTAATTCACTCGTACGTCCCATCTTGGAGTATGGCTCAGTAATATGGAATCCAGATTAGGAAGTAAATACGAAACGATTAGAGAGTGTGCAGAGGCGCTTCCTCTACCATCTATGCTACGGAGATCATTTAGCAAAAGAAACTTTAAGTTATACATCACGGTTAACGCGTTATAATTTAAAAACTTAGCGAGCCGTAGAATGAAACTTGATTCCATATTTCTACATAAAATATTAAGTGGTTCCACGGACTGTAGTGAGTTACTAAGCGCCTTAAGCATAAAAATATCTTTGCGTATTCCAAGAAAAAGCAATTATAATTTATTTGAAATTCCATTTTCGAGAACTAATCTGGGTCATTACGCTGCTGTACCGAGGATTTGTAAGCTGTACAACACTTTATCAAAAGCTCATGATATCGATATTGGCGAATCCTTACCCCGATTTAAAAGACACTTGCAAAAGGTTCTTTAAGGTTCTCATTTATTATTGGTTT